CATCCTAAACTGGAGTCAGTTCGTAAGCCTCCGAATTTTGATCATGTGAATCAAACAGTGCATTTGTGATTTAGTCCTATTATTATTATTATAATTATTCTAATTTTTAAAAACTCTGTAGTGTGACTGTGATGTGCTGTTTGGGGCACTGTGCTGGAGTAGCTTTCAAATTTCATTGTATTCGTGGAATGCAATGACAATAAAGGTATTCTATTCTATTCTATTTTATTCTATCCTATCCTATTCTATTCTATTCTATGTGACCACAGGGATGCTACAATGGTCCTAGGTGTGAAAAATGGTCCTAGGTCACTTTTTTTGTGCCGTTGTAACTTTGAGCGGTCCCTAAATGCACTAAATGAAAGTCAAAGTCTACCTGTATCCGGAAACACGGCCTGGCAGCCCCAGTTAAGGAAAAAAATCCAAAATGGATTACATCCTTATGGAGTAGGAGGGGGAGGGGAAAAAACCCCTCGGAGTGCAGCTATTTCCAGCGTGCGTCTTGCGTCTAGAGAAACACCAAGCGAGCCTCCCGCTCCCATTCACCCTCCTCCTTCCCACCCATTATCTGTAGATGTCAGCATTTAATGGGGAAAGCTGGTCATTATTCAGCAACGGGAAAAGAATTAATGGCTTTCCAGACATTTCTCCTCCCTGCGGTGTGGCTTCTCTGGCGTCACTGTAAATATATTAACAAACGTATTTATTCCTGCAAATCAATGCTGGCAGATGCATAAAAGGACAAACACAGGAATAAATTAAAGAGATGAACAGCGGGGCTGCTGCATTGCCTTGTAAGGAGAGCAGCTGCCAGTTGGGTCTCACCTATCCCAGGCCTCCTATCACAGAGCCGTTTTAATGCCGTGGGGTATTTGGTTCTGGTTTGGTTCTGCAACCCAACAGGAGAGAAACAGACTCCAGAGGGTAATTAGGACTGCAGAAAAAACAATTACTACCCACCTGCCTTCCATGGAGGACCTGCATCCTGCACGAGTCAAAAAGAGGGCTGTGAAAATATCTACAGACCCCTCACATCCCGGACATAAACCGTTTCAACTCCTACCCTCAAAACGACGCTATAGAGCCCTGCACCCCAGAACAACTAGACACAAGGACAGTTTTTCCCCAAACTCCATCACTCTGCTAAACAAATAATTCCCTCAACCCTGTTCAACTATTTATAAAGTCTGCACTACTATTACTGTTAATCTTCTCATCACTCCTTATCACCCATCTCCTCCCACTTGTGACTGTGTGACCGTAACTTTGTCTCTTGTATCCTTACGATTTATGTGGACTGTTTCCTAGAATGATTTGATTGCTTATTGTACCCTATGACTATCATTAAGTGTTGTACCTGATGATTCTTGACTCTTAACAAATGTCTCTTTTCTTCTATGTACACTGAGAGCATTTGCACCAAGACAAACTCCTTGTGTGTCCAATCATACTTGACCAATAAAGAATTCTATTCAATTCTATTTATTGTCAGTACCTTTATCAGCTTCAAGACATAAATGGGCTCCCAAATCCTTCTGACAACAGGGTGAGAAGGCTGACTCAAATAAATAAAATAAAACTTCTTGTTGGATGCTTCTGCCTATTGTTCCCGAGCTTTTATTAAAGCTGAGCCAACTGTTAGCTACCGCTTTTTAATCAACATTCATGGGGCACTGCAGTAAGTGAACTTACAACAATTCACTTAGCAACCATTCAAAGTTTACAACAGCATTGGAAAAAAAATGACTTAAGATGATTTTTGACACTTACAACCATTGAGTCATCCCCGTGGTCACGTGATCATGGCAAATGACTCATATTTATGATGGTTGCAGTGTCCCAAGGTCATGTCATCCCCTTTTGTGACTTTCTGACAAGTGAAGTCCATGGAGAAGCTAGAATCACTTAGCAACCAGGTTATTAACTTTACAACTGCGGTGACTCACTTAACAACTGTGGCAAGAAAAGCCATAAAAGGGGGCAAAGCTCATTTAACAACTGTCTCAGTTAGGAGCAGAAATTATGGGTTCAATTGTGGCCGTAAGTCGAGGACCACTTATACATTGGGAGCCTGATGAATTTTCCAGCATTTTCCATTCTTTCCCCTATCCCTAACCCTAACAAGCGGGTTACTAACTTAACCACTGCTGTGATTCACTTAACAACTCTGGCAAAAAAAGGTGATAAAATGGGACAAAACTCATTTAACAAACGTTTTGGTTAGTGACAGAAATTTTGGGCTGTATTGTGGTCGTAACCTGGGGATTCTGTATTCTATGACACTAAATGCTGACCCCAAATTGGGGGAACATTCAATTCATGAAAGTCTTCAGACAGATGCTTATTTTTTTTTTTTAAATATATATATATATATATTATTTTTATTTTTTTATTATTTACATTTATCGTGAAATTATGGTTCAATTTATTTACAACATGTAGAAAAAAAAAATCAGAGAACAGAGTGAGGTTTGGGGTAGGGGGCGGTGGGTTGGGTTGCTTTGGGGCGGAGCAGCCAGAAAAGAGATAATCCAACGCTTGTTCCAATTATTTTAAATATTCTTTTGCAGTCTGAACACACACAGAGAGAGGAAAGCTGAGAGTCTGCGGTTCTCCATTTCCAAGGCTGCGCATTTCATCGTGCAATAATACAAAAATTAACCACCACCCCTGTTTTTACCAGGTAACAGTCCGGGTGAAAACCGGTTAGTTCCGAACCACAATAGAAACCAAGGGCAAGACTGCCTTCTATCAATTCCAAGAGAAGTATTTAAAAAAAGAAAAGAAAAGAAAAGAAAGGGATGCTTATTTTTTTTAAAGATTTAAGGGCTTTTTATTTTTTAACCGGATTCTTGAAAAAATCCAGCACTGTGGTTGACTTAATGCACTCACCTTAAGGAGTTCATGTTTTGTTCCATAAACCAAATTTTACCTAAATCAATATTTTCAGATCCATCCTGAACCCAAAGTTGCAACTAGTATATCAGATTTCATTTCTCTAATTTCAGAGCCCTTCACTAAACGTTAAGCTAGATATGGAACTTGTGTATTTTCCTGAGTTGGCAAAAGAACGTGGAAGTATTTGCACACCAAACAAGTGGCTCAACATACTAAGCCCCCCTGCCCAAGCTTAGCGTGTTGCACAAATCTTTTCCAGACTCAGTTCAGCATGGTGTGCGACAACAACCTCTAAGGTGCCACCAAATTGCAATTTTTAATGGAACCGAAGGGAAGGAATGAAAGACACGGGCCGTAATCATATCAACGGTATTTTAATAATTGAATGTGCATTCAACGTAAATGAAATCAAATTGAATTTCTCTCCTGGACTCAACACTTTGCCTTGGCCACATTTGCTTTCTGGAGTGTAAATTCTGACAGATGGTCTGGAAAAAGAAGTCGCAAGTCCCTTCCTCTAGGCCAGGGGATCTCAGCCTTGGCAACCTTCTGGAAGCCAGCTGGCTGGGGGATTCTGGGAGTTGGGGTCCATATATCTCAAAGCAG